TCATTCCCTGTATGGGACATTTTCTTAACTGAGTTTCTTACCTCAGTGATTCTTGTGGGTCCCTTCCAGCTCAGAATATYCAGTGACTCTGTGATTCCCTGGAGGAATGAACTGCCCCACAGCTCCACAGAGGGAGGCAGCACAGCCCAGGAGTGAGCCCTGCCTGCCCCCTCTGCTGCACCCCTCTGATAAGGAGCTGAGATGATGCTTTGAACAACCTGGAGCCAGGCCTGGGCATCCCTGAAACATGAGAGGAGTGAAGTTTGAAACTCATCCTGGACCCACTCCCAAATCACCCAATGCATTTTTCTTCTTTCACCAGAAAGAAAGCAAAGGCAGCCCAGGGAGAAATTAACGGTGAAGGGAAAAAATGTTGAGTGCACTGGAGTGAAGCAGCTTTCCCTGCAAAATTCCATGTAACATGTTCTGCTGGGTGGAAAGGCAYGGGCTGACAGTGCCTGGCTCACCCACAAGGGCTGGGGTCTCTTTGATCAGGGGAACACTGGCTCTTGGAGCAGCGCTGAGCTGATAGCTTGGGAGAGAAAAAAAATCCAGTCTGCTGTTAAAAACATCTCCATCCAAAGAGATGCWCCCTGGGGATGAGTGCAGGGAGGATCAGATGCTGAAGCTGCTTCCACAGGGCTGGAGGAGGCAAAGCCATAAAGCTAAATGGGTTCTGGTTCAACAATAAAACTTTCTCTCCAGCACCCAGCTCGATTGACAAGGTTGGTTCTTCTCTCTGTCATCGCTGTGAAAGAGTCCTAAGGTGAATTATACCATGGCTTAAATCAGCCTGAAAGGCTCCWGAAGTTCACCAGCTTCTTCTCTGCCCTAACTCCTGCAAGTCCCTATCTCAAGACTTCCCTCTTCAGCCTCTTCTCTGCCATTTGAAGTACTTTCAAACCTTATAAACCTCCCAAATATGCCACACTTCTGATATTTCAATTCCTCCAGTGAGCTAGCGAGGATAGGTTAATTTTTTTTTTTTTTTTTAAAGAAGAAAAATATCCCTTGAATTTCTCAAATAATTTATAAAAATCAGTTAAACAATGGAAGGTCACTGGGGGTTTCACTGTGTTTTGTTAACAGAGTAGTGCTTCTGGAAACTACCCAGAAACAGGAAAGCATGAGAGGCTGCTGGACACAAAATGCTGTGTTGCACACTCCCAGGTCAGAATTTTGATAGGAAAGGATGCTAAATTGTGTAGGAGAAGGAGGGTAATGCTGGAGAGGTCAAGCTCAGGTTCACCGAGTGTCCATTTAAAAGTCTTCAATCCTTTTAAGTGGTAGAGGAGGAGAAAGGACAGAGCTAAAGAATTAATTAAAAAAATAAAAATAAAATTAAAAAAAAGGGGAGAAAAAAAGAGAATTTAAAAGAAAAACTTTTTAGGAAAAAGAAACTAAAAAAAAAATAACCCCCTCCAAGCAGCATCAGGGAACAGGACATTTGTATCGACTGCTGGCAAGAGACCCAGGACAGAGCAAGAGGAAAGGTGGAGAATTCAAAGGGGAACGTTCTTAACATTCACTTGGAGCTCACTRAGTGGGAGGAGAAACAAATCAGTAATATCAGGACAGGAGCCATGCTAGCCTATATAAGCTGTTGGGACATTTTCTTTYCCCCTACTTTCCTTCTGTCCTAACCAGAAAACCTACAGCTACTCCTGAGCTCACCAGAGAGGTAAGAGCACTCTGTTCTTTGCTTTTAATGCACYCTGTTAGTGACTTACCCGGGTCTTTCCTCTCCCTCAAAACACCTGACAAGCAGAATTTGAGGGTCCTGCTGGAGGAGAGCAGCTGAGGCTCAGGTGTGAAGCTTGAAACTCAGAAATATCAATTATCAAGAAGCTTCTAGCAGGGTGAGGATTTATTGACACYGCTCAGTCCAGGTGGCTGAACCTTGGAGGAAAAAGAGAAAAGGAAAAGAAAAGAAAAAAAAAAAAGAAATAACCTGAACTCTTAAACGTTTCCTTTTACTGCCTTTTTATTCTGCCAGATGAAAAATGCCCAGATAGTAATAATGCAACAGTTGATATGAGAGTGTCTCTGTATTACTTTGTCCCTCAGAGACAGATCTCTGAAAAGTGAGTTGCATGTGGGCTTAACGAATATTTGAATCTGAGGTGTAAGCTTTCTTTAGAACCAATACTTTGAAATTCACATTCTGTGGGAGAACCTGAACTCTTTGTTTCCAGCGAGGGTCAAGTGCATTATATCCTGTTCCAAGGATTGTTCTTGTGCATGCTTGTGTTCCCGTGCCTAACACGACATTAATCCTGCTTTACTACACCCCTGGCAACATTAACGGGCTGTGCTGGAATTAGAGCTGCTGAGAGTCTGGCCCTTTCCTCCTATTGTGCTTGGATGCAGGAATTCCTCTAAAAACAGGCTGCACACAGAGCTGGGCTGCCCGCAGATTCACAGCAACAATTCAGAGAATGCAAAGTACAATGGCTGCGATTGTGCAGYAGCAGGTACTCGGGTCCCTGGACAAACAAATGCCTCACCATAAATTAAACCCCCTGAGAAACACGAATTTTGGCAGGGAGAGRGGAAAATTCCAGAAGGAAGAGAAAGCAACACATAACTTTGCTGCACTATCACAGATAAAAGCCTGGTGTCCAGGTTGGAAGCGCCAATTACCTGGGAGTATTAATTAGCCCAGCTAAAGTCCCTGTCCCTCTCCCATCTGCAAGCACAGTGCTCTTACCATGCACACCACAACAGAAAAGCGTGGCCAGGCTGGTCTCCACTTCAGCAGGTGAATAAAGGAGGATTTTTGGGGCCAGGTGCTGCAGATTGGCCCCAGCACAGAGTCTGCTTTAACAAGGCATGGCTGAGATGCCGTGGCTCTGGCGTGACAGGGAGGAAGTGCACACAAGTGGAAGGAAAATTGATTTAGGGAGACGTGGGGTTGCATAACGTCAGTGCTTTGCCACGGGACATTTATTAACTCTGAAAAGATTATTAAAAAAAAAAACGCAACAGATTAACATCTCGGCCCAGCGATGATTTAATCTTCGTAAAAAAAGAGAAGCGTCTTTTATGTTTGCTGTTTTGTTTCGTGGGAAGCTCTCACTTCCCATGGAAATAGTTTTAAATAGTTTCTCTGCACTGGCAGCATGCTACAAATCAGACCTTGCGCCACTGAGATGAAAAGTGTGYTCAGACTGGCTCTGCCTGGGTTCTGCTGCTGCTCCTGTACCTCAGCAATTACACACCAGCACTGGGAGCTTCCACTGCATGGCTCTGACACCTCTCCAGAGCTTATGTGAGAAGAGGCAGTGTGCTTCAAGCTGTCTGGACTTAGTCTTTTTAAAAAAAAAATATTTTCCCCAATTACTAGATATAAAAAAATACAATTTACCAAACCTGGCCCCATACAGAAGCCAAGCAGTCTGTTCCAGCAGATCAYTCCTTTTACAATTATTTCCATTTCATTCCTTTGTGCACTGAGAAAAAAAAGGCACTTTCAGTGAAAACTATGTGTTTGCATAACTTCAGTAGCAGGTCTTCAAAAGCCTTGCTGCAGACCAGCACACATGGAACCCCCAKCAGAACATGTACACCTCAGTCTGAATTAATATTCAGACATCACTGTGTTGAAATTCTCTGAGCACCGCCACAATTCCGAGATAAGACACCCTTTGTGTTCTCTCCTTTCTTAAATACCTGCTATCACCTACTCCCTGAAAAAACCATAATGTGCTAACAAATCATTAATCTGGGCAGGTACTGCTTTGTAAAATCATTAAAAACGCCTAAAAATTCTATGCTGGTGCCAGTTTCCATGTGGTTCATTACTTTAATTGGACAGCTAAGGAGGAGTTGTGCAAGTGCTTCCTACTTTGTGTTTCTGAACAGATGGGACGAGCCTCAGGGATGTGGGGACAACAAAACCCTCTCACAGAGGATGCAGCCCCCACACAGTGCCTGGGATGGGGTTCAGGGAGGCCACAAAACAGTGGGGGATGGATCTGGGTCTTTATGGGTTTCCATCAGAAACCAAAGGTTCTCTTGGCCTACGCCTGTTTCCCACCCGGCTGCTCAGCACAGTGAGGAGGTTGTTCAAAACTTTTTGATTTCAGGCTTCCTTACCATTTAAAATCACAGAATGGTTTGGGTTGGAAGGGACCTCAAAGATCATTTCATTTCAACCCCCTGCCATGGGCAGGGACMCCTYCCACTGTCCCAGGCTGCTCCCAGCCCCAATGTCCAGCCTGGCCTTGGACACTGCCAGGGATCCAGGGGCAGCCACAGCTGCTCTGGGAAATCTCTGACAGGGTCTCACCACCCTGACAGGGAACAATTTCTTCCTAATACCTAATCCAACCCTGCCTCCTGGCAGTTTGAAGCCGCTCCTCCCTGTTCTGTCACTCTCTGCATGGTGAACTGATGGAGTTCCTTCCTGTGGTCCCTCTTTGGAGAGACATTCTGTGATCAAATAGGGGGAGCTGGACCAGATGAGCTTTAAAGGTCCCTTCCAGCYCAAAGTATTCCATGATTCTGTGACATAATGAACGTGGGTTTGACCAGCACTGCTGCAGGGAAGGCAGACACGATCACCCACGGTCTCTGTGACTCCGAATATTCCGGCACACGGGGCATCCATCGGGGGTGAGGTTGGAGACAGGTTGGTGTGAGTGACCCACCAGGGCACCTGGTGCTTTTGCCATGCCAAGGGCAGTGAGCTGGCTTCATTTCTGCCCGTGGAAACCAGAGCAGAGGAGCCCTGCCAGCTCAGGCTCACACTAGTGCCCAAAGTAGGCATTTAACTGCCTTTGCATGGCAAAGAAATAYATCCATTTTTGGCAAATTTGGGCCCTCAGCTTCTTCCATTTTTTTTTCTCCACTGTGTACATGGACTGGACAGTGACTGCAATACTTCACATGCATATTACACCCCATTCTGCAGAGTCCTGAGTGCAAACAGCCCCTCACTCAGTATGCAGGGAAAAACACCCAGGACATGCCAGCGTGGGCTCACACAGCATCACTCTGCAGTGTAGCAACAYTTCATTTGAGYTACAGGGAAAGCCYAAGTTACRTAAACAGGGAGAACMTTTGAAAGGAAAAATGTAAATGCAYTTTCAYCAAATGGRGAGCATTYATCTTRGCTRGAAATTTTGATTTAATTGAAAGTACATTCAATTCACTTATTCCAGAATGAAGTATGAAAAAAAATTGAAGGTTAATGAATTAAGGTAATGAATTATAACAGAGCCAAGA